TCTCTCCTCTGCCCCCTAGCCCTCTCCCCACACTCAGCTTCCAGCCAGGCCTATACTTTCCACACAAAATATCTGAAGATCCTTCTTTGGGAACTCAGACCTATGAGGAAAAATAAAGACTAAAGATACTGACATAACGGTGGAGATGGTGTTCCTAATGAAGTGCCAATAGTCAACAAGCCTACCCTTTCATTTAAAGCTTCTAGCGTTTTGGTCTTACATATGTAACAAAATATAGCTCATAAATGCATCTAAGCACAAAATCTTAACATAGAGAATGAAACTAACGTTGGGTTTTACCATGCTACAGCACCCTTCAGATCACATCTAACTTCCATAATGCAATCACACGGGATCGTTTTTGTAAAAATACTTGAAGGTGTCATGTTTTCCTAAGCATTTTAAAATCTTATTGCTAGCCGGGCTCGGTGGCTCAGCCTATAATCCCGCACTTTGGGAGGCTGAGGTGAGTGGATTGCCTGAGCCCACGGGTTCGAGACCCGCCTGGGCAACTTGGCGAGACCTCATCTCTACAATAAAATCAAAAAATCAGCCGAGCGTGGTAGCACGTGCCTGTAGTTCCAGTTACTCGGAAGGCTGAGGCGGAAGGATCGCCGGAGCCCAGCAGGTGGAGGCTGTGGTGACCGGGAGTAGCCACTGCACTCCAGTCTGGGTGACAGAGTGAGACTCCAACTCAAAAAAAAAAAAAAAAAATCTTATTGCTATTCAAAATTATTCTTTTTTGAGTCAGGTCTCACTCTGTCACCCAGACTGGAGTACGGTGATACAATCACGATTCACTACAGGCTCAACCTCCTGGACTCAGGCGATCCTTCTGCCTCAGTCTCTCAATTAGGTGAGACTACAGGTGTGTGCCACCACACCTGGCTAACTTTTTGGTAGAGATGACATCTCACAGTGCTGTCCAGGGTGGTCTTTAATTCCCGGGCTCAAGCAATCCTTCTGCCCTAGCCTTTCAAAGTGCTGGGATAACAGGTGTGGGCCACTGCATTCAGTCTATTCTCTTTTTAAGCTGAGATGTGTATCACATACGATTCACCATTTTAAAGGGTGCATCTCAGTAGTTTTCAGTACTGGAGTTTTATTCATTGTGTTGTGTAACCACAAGCACTAATTCCAGAGCATTTCTACTCCCCCAAAGAAGCCCTACGCCTATTAGCAGTTAGTCCCAATCTGCCCAGCCTGCCCCATGCCCCACTCCCTTCTCTTGACAACTGCTAAGCTGCTTCCCGTTCCTATGAATTTGCCTGTTCTGGACAACACATATGAATAAAACAATGTAACAGATGACCTCCTGAACCTGACTTCTTCACAATGTTTTCGAGGCTCATTGTGAACATGTGTCAGAACTGCACTTCTTTTTATGGCTGAGCAATATTGCATTTTCTGTAGAAACAGGCCCTGTTTGGTTTATCCATTCATCAGCTTATGGACACTTAGGCTTTTTTTTGGCTACTATAAATCACGCTCCAAAATACTTTTTAGTCTCCTGTTTTGTTTTTCTGAGTTGGAGTCTCACTCTGTCGCCCAGGCTGGAGTGCCATGGCACACTCACGGCCACCCCAGCGTCGACCTGCTGGGCTCTGACAATCCTTCCACCTCAGCCTTCCGAGTAGCTGGAACTACAGGCGTGCGCTACCATGCCCGGCTATAGTCTCCTGTTCTTAAATATGAGTAGACCACTAGACGACAACAGCCACCTGAAAAAAGGAATTAACAGAAAGGACTATCAACACCAATGTGAACAAGAAAAAGCCAACTGGGGAAATTGAAACTATGCAGAAAAAGGAAAACTTTTAGCTAACTTTAAGATTTTCAGCCGGGCTCGGTGGCTCAGCCTGTAATCCCGCGCCTTTGGGAGGCTGAGGTGAGTGGATTGCCTGAGCCCGCGGGTTCGAGACCCGCCTGGGCAGCGAGACCTCATCTCTACAATAAATCAAAAAATCAGCCGGGCGTGGTAGCGCATGCCTGTAGTTCCAGCTACTCAGAAGGCTGAGGCGGAAGGATCGCCGGAGCCCAGCAGGCGAGGTTGCGGTGGCCGGAAGCGGCCACTGCACTCCAGTCTGGGCGACAGAGTGAGACTCCAACTCAAAAAAAAAAAAAAAAAAAAAAAAAAAAGATTTTCATTAATAAAGTTTAGCTAAGCCGGGCTCGATGGCTCAGCCTGTCATCCCGCGCCTTTGGGAGGCTGAGGTGAGTGGATTGCCTGAGCCCGCGGGTTCGAGACCCGCCTGGGCAACTTGGCAAGACCTCATCTCTACAATAAACCAAAAAATCAGCCCGGCGTGGTAGTGCATGCCTGTAATTCTGGCTACTCAGAAGGCTGAGGCGGGAGGATCACCGGAGCCCAGCAGGTTGAGGCTGCAGTGGTCGGGAGCGACCACTGCGCTCCAGTCTGAGCGACAGAGTGAGACTCCAACTAAAAAAAAAAAAAAAAAAAAATTAAATTAAAAAATAATGAAGCTTAGCTAACAGAAAATACCATGTCTAAGAAATAAGAGTAGGATTCTATAAAAAGGAATATTTAGAGAACAAGAATTCCAGGAAACTAAAAATACGCTTAAAAAAATTTTTTTAGCAGCTTCAAAAGAAAAGCTGAGGCAGCCTCCAAGAAAGTAGAAAAAGAAAATGAGAAGAAAAAAAGAGATTAAATAAATTCTAAGACATGCAAGGTTTCAAAAATTCACCTCCTACATCCCCTTTTGACAGGAAGCTTGAAGGATATGCTTCACTCAAACAAGAGAATGATCAGGAAAGATAACATGGGGTACAGGAGACGGAGAAATCCAGCCCAGGGAAGAAGAAAACGCTAAGCCCCAGGAAAAGGATGGCTATTCCAGATAAACTGTCATATACCAAAGTAGAAATTTCTAGATTAACTAATGTGTCTGATCATGAGAGTTTTAAACATTCAAAAGAGAGTGAAGTTAATGTAGTGATAAGTATATAAAAAATAAAATAATAAATCCAAGGAAAACAGTTTGGAAGGAAAGGAAAAGTGGTTAACAACATACTGCATGACTTAGCTGAGGGTGCCTTTTACATGGTCAAAACAACAAAAACTGATTTAAAAATTACAAGACAATGCCATAGTGAGGACAGGAAACAGGAAAGGTGTGTGTGAGGGCTGGGTTGGGAATAGGCGGTACTTTCTGAAGCGGGATACTCATAAAGAATGCCCAACACTGAAAAATCCGGAAGTTACAAGATAGGCATGTTATTTACAAATACAGAAATTTCAAAAGGACCCATTAAGAACTGAAAATGGTAACATGACAGGTAAAGGGTGCCTGATTTTTTTTTTTTATAATGGGTTGTATAGAAAGAAGTATTTGACTATTTTAAACTTTGTATATATATAAATGAAACTTTTGCTCATTTTGTTTTAAAAAGGCTGAGGCTACAAAAATGTCCTGAAAAAAATCTCAAAAAGGAATACGAAAGCCTGGGAAACTTGGTCAGACTCCCAGTCTCTATTAAAAAAAAATTTAAAAATTAGCCAGGAGTGGTTGCTCATGCTCGGGAAGCTGAGGCAAGACGATCACCTGAGCCCAGAAGTTCAAGGCTGCAGTGAGCCATGATGACACCACTGTATTCCAGCCTGGGTGACAGTGCAAAACCCTGTGTACCAAAGAAAAAAAAAGAATCTTTTAACTCAGGGAAGAATAAAACCAGAAATATGTGTCCATCTTTAGTAGTGCCATAAATGGCTTCTAAGCAATTCAGTGCTTTTCAACTCTTAAAACAATGGTTAAAACATGGGGTATAAATCGATATAAAAGATACAACATGAAGTACATTTTAAAGATGCACTGACTCAAGCTTTATAAAAGCCATTGATCTTGCCATGTACAGGAGTCACAATTCGCTTAATGACCTTCTTTCATAGTAGATAGGTCCATCTGTGCTTAATACCTCCTTCTCCTTCAACACAGCAAGACTATTATTCCCAGAGTGCCTCTGCACTCTACTCTGCCTGGAACATCCTTCCCACAGCTGACCCTGCGAGGCACGTGGGCCTCAGTGTGAACACCATGTGCTCACAGAGGCTATCTGATCTTGCCCTTGAGAGCGCCCTGCCCCGTTTGTTCTAGCTCACACTCAGGCAATCTAAAGCAATCACTTCCATAGGGCAGAGAGCTCATTTGTCTCGTTCACCACTTTACCTCTCAGGCCTGCAACAGCACCTGGCACACATGGAACATCCCAGTTTTTTTCAAATAAATGAATTCATGATTATTTACCTCAACACTATTGGTTCTGTTTTTAAGAGTCTTACTGCATATGCAGGGATTTTGAGGAATTTGAAAAAGTGTTCACACCCCACCACCTTCTGACACCAAAAACATCCTTCAAAATGCTGTTGAATGCTTACGCTTACACCAAAGAATTCTTCACTGCTTTTCTGAGGTCCAAATTGAACTGGGAATCCTGTATCTTATTGTCAACCCTAAGTCACGAGGAGTAAGGAGGAGAAAGAACCAAAGAAGGATGTGCTGGGGTTTGCGTACAGGGAGACCAGTCGCTGTAAGCAGGCCATTCGGAAGTCAGGTGTGCGAAGAGAAACTCAGGATTCATGACTCTGTGTTCAATGGAATTTACCCCTTGCTGCCTCCTCAAGAAAACTACAGTAGAGGTCTATGTTACTTAAACACAAAACCAATGCAGACAGAAGACTATCCTGGAGAAGTCTTCCATTGCCTGGGCACCATCAAACACTCTCCTGTCCCACCCCAGCCTTGGTACCTTAGCACCATGCACTGTGTCTATAAGCTCCAGGGGACAGAGCTTAAGAAAGTGTTTCCTATTGCCAGCATCTAGAACGCTGACTGGTACAAACATCTGGTTCAACATGAAATCTAAAGACGATATCTAAATCAAAAGGGTCAATTAACTGTACCCTAATCATTACTCAACATGGCAAAGAAAAGATTCAACTTGAAAAGTTTGGAGAAGCATACACCTAAACACATACTTACCGTTTCAAAAGTATTCAATATTATCAAAGGGAAAAAAACATTAAAGTATTCTCCACAATCTTGAAATCTGACAGGCACAGGTCTTGAGATGGACTGACAGAGACTTGCAGGGGGCCCAAACTGATCAAAGTTCAAAAACATTTCATATTTCCATTTTAAAATCTCTTTAACAAAGGTATCAGAGAGAGACTGTGATGGTAAGAGAATGTTTGGTGGCGAGAAAGTCGAAAAAGACCTGCTTTCACCAAATGGAAGTTTGTAACCTTGTCTGTTGGAAATGTTTGCAGTCTGGGAATGAAAAACACTGCATAAACTCTTTGTTTCGCCCACTGGCTTCTGAAATAATAGAGTAATGGGAGGTGGTACTTTCAAAGTAGGCTGTACCCCACTTGACTTATTTTTTAGAGGTGGTGGAAGTACTGAAGTATCTTCCAAAGACTTGGAAAGATGAGCAATTCGTGAAGTACTACTTGAGCTAAAAACTTTGGCAGTGGGACGTCTCCGTTTAGATGGAGGAGGCAAAGTAGGTTTCCGAAATACATCTTCATCTGCTGCTTTAGCTTGAGAATGTTTTGAGCAGTATTCATCCTGGTTTTTCACGGTTTCAACACAGTCTTTGTACTTACACTTTTTGCCACTCAAAGACGCCAACTGAGACCAAGGCACAGCATCTTCTACCTGAACCGTGTATTTTCCATAAACGACTTCACTGACATCGTAATTACCAGTATCCATTTGTGAACATAAATCCATGTCTTCAGGATCACGCTGTGTTAAAAATAAATCATCCTCTATATCACTGTTGGATTTGGACTCTCCCTCTCTCAAAGTTGCTACCTTTACGTGACACCCTGTTAGACCACCTCCACTTAAGGGGTCCTCTGAAGTAGAGACAGTTACTTTATTTGTTGGTATTTTTCCCTTTAACACTACAGAATCACACTGGTTCAAATGGCAAGCATCATCGGTCACCAGAGAAATATGGTTTGCTTTTCTGGTTTCTGGCTCAGAAGGCTTACAGTGTATTAACTGTTTCTCATTACTGTTGGCAAGTACTTCAATTCTTCCTGTATAATTATAACCTAACCTATCAGATTCTGCTACAAACATATCAGAATTCTGTGCTGCATGTGGCCCTGTTTTTATAGCATCTGTACTTTTAGAATCAGCAACTCCTCGTCTATTTTTTTGTGATTTGGGTTTCCTCTGTCTTCGCAACTGAAGATCTTGACTGATAAGCTGCTTTTTACTGTTTTTGACAGAGAAAGACTGAGGAGACTTTGCTTTAGTCTTTTTCCGGGTATCAATTACTCCAACAGTTTTGCCATGGTCACGTAACCGACCTATACACTCTAAAGATCGCTGGGACAAGTCAAATGCCTTACGAGGAGCCTTTTTCAAGCCAAGTTTCTCAACTGTTGAAGTGGGCTCCGGACACTGGCGAAACTTCTTTGGTGGCACAATAGCAGGAGTTGTCCTACAACTTAGGTAATTGGAATTTTTAGTTTGTCCTTTTTTGGCATCCGACTGGGTTTTCTTAGAGGTTTTAGAAGGTGGGGCTCTCCTGGGGGGTTTTGAGGAAGTACGAGGCTTTGGAGACTTCTTTTGTGGAACCGTACTAGTTCTCTGAATACTTGAACTGGGAGTTGTAGTCCTTCTGCCTGTAACTTTTTTTTTAGTAAGATCTCTCTTATTATTAGACTGGTCCTCCTTTTTGACAGAAGGTGAAGGCCTCAGAGGATCTTCAGCCACTGGTTTTTCCAATCGTTTTCTCTTAGGTTTCTTTACTTCAGTTTCACAAAAATTCTCAACAGAAATACTACTACCCTGTTGTCCTGCGTGTTCTTTGATGCCCTCTGCTACCATTTTAACAACTTCTTTAGATACATTATCTGTATCATAACCCCAGTCATTTGTGATATCAACCACATGAGTCAAACAAGAATTCTTTTCATCCTCCTGAACTGAATTCTTGCTGTCTAGTTTATGATCTTGCCAAACTGAAAACACATCATCCTGACTTTCAAACTCAAAAACCTGAGACTCCATAGGTTCCTCAAATTCCAAAAGCGACTTTGTTTTTACTTCCTTTATTAGCTTCTCTTCTACATGACTGTTAACTTTCTCAAGGCATATTTTGTCCTGTCTAATGTGTTTGTCAAGACTGAGAAGTCTTTCATCATCATCATCATCATCAGAATCTGAAATAATAATAATGTGTCCATGGCTGGTGTCCCCGACATTATTTTCATTAGCTGTAAAGCATCTTTTATTATCTTTTACTTTTCTTCGTAAGTGGGATGAGTTTTTTTTAGTTGAATCTGATGGAAACTTAGTAACACTGGCTTGAGCTATTAAAGACAATTTGTGGAGGTCTCTGTCTACCTGAGAATCTGTTAAGATGTCAGACGCAGGACTGATGCAAAGAGCCTGTTCGCTTGTCAAGTTACAAGAAACTAGATCAGTATTCTTCCTCATCTCTTCATCTACTGATTCAAGTACAGTCAAAGGATCTTTAAAGGGAGACATTTTTTTCACTAAAGTATTGGTCATTTCTGTAGAGATCAAATCTTTATCATCAACATGACATTCTTGTATTTTACAATTATTTTCATGGGCAGAGAAAAGAGCTAATTCTTCATTCTTTACTTGTTTCTTTCTCAGCAAAACACTGTTTTGAGATTTTTGTTCTCCATTTTTATCATCATCCAGACTACTATAAGAATCTAGATTGTGTATCAAGCCATCCCCTTTCTGAACTCCACTATCTTTCCCTGAGTAGAAACTCTCAATGTTAGATGCAGCCAGATTTTCCTCTAAATTGACATTATTGACCAAGCTACTTTTCCGGTGTTGCTTCATTACGTGTGATAACTTTGCACAGATATCATCTTTCTGTGCCTTAGTTTTTGGTTTTGAAGATTTACCAAGAGCATCATCCTTTACAGAAAAATCTTCAGTTGATGTGGACATTTTTTCCAGAGACTCAGTGCTAGGTTCAGTCAACAAACATGTTGATGTTGTTATTCCTCCGTCACATTCCCTTTCTGGACCATTTCTGGAAGTATTATTATATGGTGAATATGAGTCATCTTTTATAGACTGCTGCTTCCCTGCATTTATTTTAATTTGATCTTGAGCTCTTTCAGTAAGGTTTTTACTACTCTGCTTTGAGCATGACTCAGTGGAAAGATAGTCTTCTAGTTTCAAATCCTTTATATAATTTTGGTCATTATTCTCTTCTTCTATAGCACTACCTGCTTTGATTGACATACTCTCTTGCACTTGATATGTGTCAGCTTTCATTGGTTCTTTAGAAAATGTTGGGCTGGAACTTCCCAAATGCATGTCTTTTTTAAACTTCTTCTCTGTTTGTTCACTTTCTTCTTTTATATACGATGCAAGAGGGGCTTTATATGTAGAACTCAGATCCATAAAAGTGCTACATTGAGGTCCTTTGGGTTTTATGTTTCTAATAATTTGCTTTAAACAAGTTTGTAACTCATGAGTTTCCTGACTAGTCAACTGCCAACCTAGAGATAAATTTCCTCGAAGGAATAAGTTAAGCTTATCCCAGAATCGCTTACAAAGAGTTTGCTGTCCAAGCTGATAACCTTCTTTAAGGAGACTTCTAATCAGCTGCACGCAAGCAAGTTGTACGGAGTTAGACTGCATTGAATGCAATGATGATATCATTGCTGTTCCTTTGGAGCAATTTCCAGATGACTTCTCAGAACTCCGTGCAAATGCAGTGGAAGGAAGCTTGGCACATTTTACGATGGCTTCCACCCACTGCTGGGAACTAATCCACAGCAAATGCAAACATTTTTTATTTCTATGCAGTTCAATCACTGATACCAAAATTAGAAGAAAAAATTCAGTGACTTTGTCACACATGGCATCTGTTTGGTTGAGGACATCTCTGACTTCTGAGTGTAGGTGATGAATAACCCCTACTATATAAGCCACACCCAAATCCTTAAGATCCATGAGGGACTGAACAAAAGGTATGAACCACAGAAATGTGCTGTTATGAACACGCATGTCTTGGCCAATATCTGACTGAAGTACACTAGCCAATGTTTCCATTTCTTCATACATGTTAGGACAATAATCTGGGCATATGGCTGATCTCCATCCAGAGTCCTAAAATGAAAGAAATACTGTTTAGATAAAAAAGCACCATTTGTGACAGGTTTAACATCCAAGTTATAAAAAATAAAATATATTTTTCTATCTTTCTTTTTTTTTTGAGTTGGAGTCTCACTCAGTCGCCCAGACTGGAGTGCAGTGGCACGCTCCCGGCCACCACAGCCTCAACCCGCTGGGCTCCGGCGATCCTTCCACCTCAGCCTTCCAAGTAGCTGGAACTATAGGTGCACGCTACCACGCCCGGCTAATTTTTTGATTTATTATAGAGATGAGGTCTCGCCAAGTTGCCCAGGCGGATCTCGAACCCGCGGGCTCAGGCAATCCACTCACCTCAGTCTCCCAAAGCACGGGATTACAGGCTGAGCCACAAAGCCCGGCTGAAAATATATTTTTCAACTGTCCTATTGGGTATACTGTATATTGTTTGTATAACTCCCAAGAAACTGAAACCATAAGTTGAATTTTGAGGTTAAAGTTTCAAGAAAAGGCAAATTTATACCACCTTCATGTACTCTGGCCATGTTTTCATTAGCTAGTTTTGATTTCTAGTCATGCCACTTATCTTCCCATAAGCTTTCTGTTTTCCCTAAACACATTTAGAAATTGATTTTTCAAAGTGTGCAAAAGGTAGAGTCCATATCCCCCATGCACAATACATCTCTTCAATCAGAAAGCATTACGTAGCAGTGGATTCAGAATAAGTCATATCATAAAATCAGCAATTCAATTAATTATGTAAAACATTGTCTACACAATATAAAAGCAATTAATATCATCTGAATTTTCAAAGTGTTTTATACCTTTTTGGTCTTTTCAAGATTATATACCATCTGGCTGCAAGTCATATTATCATCCAAATAAGACACCGGTTCCAACTTGGTCCTTAAACATTAAGAATAAATAAAAATTAATGAAGGGAAAAAAAAACCTCTTGTTAAGTCAGTTGCAACACATTTCCTTATTTTATTTTTTTAAAAATAGACACAGGGCCTTGCTCTGTTGCCCAGGCTGGACTACAGTGGCACAATCACGGCTCACTGCAGCCTCGACCTTCTAGGCACTCCTCCCACCTCAGCCTTCCAAATGGTGGGGACTACAGGTGCAAACAACCATGTCTGGCTAATTTTTTGGTAGAGACAGGCTGGTCTTGATCTCCTGGGCTCAAGTGATCCTCCCATCTCAACCTTCCAAACGTGCTATAATTACAGATGTGAGCCACCATGCCTGGTCTAAAGATTATTTTTAAATTCTAATATTAATGGAACTAACCTTACAGAGCTATTCCGTATATTGTGGATCTCTCTATTGTAGCTCACATTGTTGATAATGGTTTGAAATGCCTCAATAGGATCAATAAGTTGACCCCAGACCTTAGATCCAAGGCGATCCAGAATCACCATGAAACAGTGTAATGCTGGCCAGAAAGGATCAGCTCTATCATCTGAAATAAAATAAAGCAATCGCTGAATCAAAACAATCAGAAAAATGTACTAACATATACTGAGAATCAAGCATTCTTAATCTGGTTAGCAATAAAAATGAACACTAAGCAGAAAGTGATTTAAACCAAAGCAATGCCAATCCTTGGAAACAGATTTTTACAAGTTGTGGCAAATTTTCAAAATTTTTTAAGTAATACCATGACAACTCTGCATAAAAATGCTTAATGGAAAACAAAATGTTTAATGGGCAATAAGACAGTCTAGGTAAATACAATCTTCTTACACCCTGTTTGCCACACCTGAAACAACTTTTCCTGTTCAGCTCCTCATCTGCTCCCAGAACTTTAATAAATAACAGAAAAGGAGAGAAAAAAAAGGAAAGAGAAAGTCGGTATTTACAGATCTAAAAGAGGCCTATGATACAAGAAAGTCTGCTTCAGCATAAGCCTTTATTTTGTGGGTCATACAGCTAGTCTTTGTAAAGGACTGACTGCCTTAGCTAATGGGTAAGGCAAAGATACACATTCTTCATCTATCCGTAACTCAACATGGCTTGACTGTTATCTACTTTTCAACTATTTTCAGGAATTCCCACTACTCACAAGCTCTTACCTCTAATCCTTTCTCTCTTCTCTATCAGATACTAAGAGGCAAGATACTGCCCTACTCAAAGACCCTCAATGGCTCCTTAATGTTTTCCAAGAAAAAACTCTCAAGTCCTCGGTCAAGAACTCAAAATGTCTTGATATGCTGTTTCTTTCCAGCTTCACCTGTCATATTCCCACAATCACACACCAGCTACAGCAAAAACAGATCAGTGGCTTGTTTCCAAATAACACCAGAATGCCCTATCAGCAATACCCATCAAAATCCCACGCATCCTTAAAAGTCCAGCTTTAATGCCTCCTCCCACATTAAACATTCCCCACTTAATATCTACACTATTCTTTGAGGCAAGTGCTCTAACTTGCTCAGTTGCTGACGGGTGTTTAGTTACCCTAGAACCTGTGATTTTACTTCCCTCGGACCTCTGAGCCTCTGCTATTTTATCAGTAATTTGTATAGACCTTCTCTTGCATTTCTGTATCCTCCCCTGCAGCTGACACAGAGCCTTATTTCTAGTAAGCTCTCAAATAAGGAAGGAAGTAGTTAGATGAAGATAATTGTGAAAGGTTTCTTAGAGAGGGGCCTAATATTTTGAAAAAGGGAGCTAGATTAACAGAAAGGACAGAATTAGATGAGCAGTTAGGCACAGCGAAAGAAATGAACAACTCATACAGCCAAATGAGTTAATCACAGCCTTAGTCAGGAATAACCTAGCAAGAAAATATATGCCATAAAAAAAGAATAACATTGATATATTTTATTGTATAACCCACAGTCATCATGCATGAAAATAAGTGAATGAGTCGGGCGTGGTAGCTCACGCCTGTAATCCCAGCACTTTGGAAGGTGGAGGTGAGAAGATTGCTTGAGCCCAGGGATTCAAGGCCAGCCTGAGCAACTTGGCGAGACCTCATCTCTACAATAAAAAAAAAATTAGTTGGGCGTGGTGACACATGTCTGTAATTCCAGCTACTTGGAAGGCTGAGGCGGGAGGATCACCAGAGCCCAGTAGGATGAGGCTGTGGTGGCCGTGAGAGTGTTACTACACTCTATCCAGCCTGGGTGACAGAGACTCCAACTCCAAAAAAAAAAGAAAAGAAAAGAAAAAATGGAAGAGGAAAAAAGTTACATTACGTTTTCATATATAATCCTGCATACTTTTTCTTCATTAATTCATTCTTTCATAAAGAAGATCAAAAACATGTATTTAAATACAGATCCTTCATGATCAGCCTAATACAACCATAAGCAAAAGGAGATCAAGATCTAATGATAAACATGACTATAAGTTTTAGACTTAATTTTCTAGATTATCTAGACAAGTACTGCCCAAGGGAACCTTCTGTGATGATGGGAATTCTGTACCTGCACTGCTCAGTAGAGTAACCAACAGGCACATAAGGCTACTGAGCTGTGAAATATGGCTAGTGGTATAAAAAACCTAAATTTTTAATTTTAATTAACTTAAATTTAAATAAGTACATGGCTGGCAGTTACTGTGTTGGACAAAGAACCAGAGAAAAGAAGCAGTAGGCAAAGAGAACGTGGGACAGGGGAGGCTTTCCCCACATGTCATTACAAATGGGTTTCCCAAATGCTCTGGTTATCATTCTATCACTAACTTTGTCAACATGAAAAAGTAAGTTAACTTTGCAGGACTTCACACTCTTCTTCTATGAAAGGACAGTGTTGAATTAAACTCTAAAGATCCTTTCCGATTTGAAAATCTGAATCTGTTACTAAACCATAAAAGTTAATTCTTTTCTCCACACCATATACCAAATCCTGCAGTAACACTATCACTTTCAAAGTACATCATCATCACAGCACTCAAAAACATTCAGCATTTCAAGTTTATTACCATCTGATTGCTTCTCCATGGTGTGAAGTATCGACTGCATAAAATCATTCTGCTTATCTGGGCCCAACAACAATGAATCCATGGCTTGCTCCTCCAGAATGGTTAGCAACATGCAAATACCTGTAAGATCATTTACAGTTTTCTTGAATCGATGCAACAGTACTGTTCTAATGCCATCTCTAGTTTAGTTGACAGTTCTGCTTCATCTCCCTGCCATGGTTTTCTTTTGTCAACTAAACTAGAGATGGCATTAAAACAATACTGTTTCTCAAACATTTTAAGTCTGAGATATTTGTACACAACAGCTCCCAAGTAACAGAAATTCAGACCAATTCAAGTGTTAGAAAACAATTTCTAAGATGACTACCACATAACTTACATTCTATCAACCTAAGATGCCTTCAATTTTAAGAAACCATGTTTCATATACCACCAAGAAAGAAAAAAAATCACTGCCCACATGACTTTAAGACTTAGAATTAATTAAATAGGGTAGAACTACCCTGAGTTAGTACAGAATTTGTAAGCAGTACTAATAAACTCTTTCTACCATGAAATATTTTATACATTGGAAAAGAGATATTAACAACCAATCAATTAATGTCAACTAGTATACTAATACTGTTTGTCCAATACTGTTTTAAACAAAAGATTCATCAAAGCTTGAAAATGTATCTCTTATACAGAAAGTTTCTAGGATAAAAATGTTTAAATAAGATATATAAGCTGGGTTCGGTGGCTCAGCCTGTAATCCCGCACTTTGGGAGGCTGAGGTGAGGGGATTGCCTGAGCCCATGGGTTCGAGACCCGCCTAGGCAGGCGAGACTTCATCTCTACAATAAATCAAAAATTAGCCGGGCGTGGTAGCGCGCACCTGTAGTTCCAGCTACTTGGAATGGTGAGGCGGAAGGATCGCCGGAGCCCAGCAGGTCAAGGCTGCGGTGACCGAGAATGGCCACTGCACTCCAGTCTGGGCCATGGAGTGAGACTCCAACTCAAAAAAAAAAAACAAAAAACAAAAAAAGATATATAATGGGTAAGTAAATTTAATGACAGAATAAGAAGTAGGAACTATTAAATCCTATATTTAGCAATTTTTTTTTTTTTGAGTCAGAGTATCACTCTGTCGCCCAGGCTGGAGTGCAGTGGCACACTCACAGGCACTGCAGCCTAAACCATCTAGGCTCAGGTGATCCTTCTAACTCAGCCTTCCAAGGAGCTGGAACTATAGGCACACGCAACCACGTCCAGCTAATTATTTTTTCTTTTTAAGAGATGAGGCCTTGCTATGTTGTCCAGGTTGGTCTTGAACTCCTGAACTCAAGTAATCCTCTCACCTCAGCCTCCCAAAATACTGGGATTATAGGTGTGAGCCACTGCCTCCAGCCTATATTTAGCAATTTTGATCAAATCACCAAAAACGTCCTTTTTAGGACACTCATAAGAACTAAAGGAAAATATTAACTATATCAGTGTAGGAACAATACTCACCTAACCAATAGTTTTTGTAGTTGGTAGTTTCATACATGTGTGAGGGAAGAAGAATCAGTTTACCCTTCTCGAGGACAGAAGAAGTATAGATGTCTGGACTTTCCAAAAGCCCCAACTCAATGACTTTAAAAAGGCAAGTTAAAACTTCCTCTAAATCATAATAGTCATCTCTGTCCACTTTTCCCAAGTTTCTTGCAGACAGGATAGCCCAACGCCGAACCTAGACGTATAACACAGTATGTTTTTTACATCATTCCATAAATAATGGTCTACAGATAGCAAGAACATGGATAACAGGATTCTCTACAGACTGTAAAAGACACATAAGAGCCGGGCTCGCTGGCTCAGCCTGTAATCCCGCGCCTTTGGGAGGCTGAGGTGAGTGGATTGCCTGAGCCCGCGGGTTCGAGACCCGCCTGGGCAGCGAGACCTCATCTCCATAATAAATCAAAAAATCAGCCGGGCGTGGTAGCGCATGCCTGTAATTCCGGCGACTTGGAAGGCTGAGGCGGAAGGATCGCCGGAGCCCAGCAGTTCAAGGCTGCGGTGGCTGGGAGCAGCCACTGCACTCCAGTCTGGGCGACGGGGTGAGACTCCAACTCAAAAATAAATAAATAAATAAATAAATAATAAATAAAAGACACATAAGAGATACTAGTTAATGCAATGTGTGGACCTTATTTGATCCTAACTTAATCAAACTAACCCTAGTAAACCATTTATGAGATAATTATTTCTGTTCATTTAAACACTGACTGGAAACATGGCATTAAGGAATTATTCTTTCAGAGGCAAAAATAGTATTTTTTGTCTTTATCTTTTAGAAACATACTGAAATATTTTATGGATGAAATGTTCTGATGCTTAATATTTGCTTTAATCTAAAGGAAAGTACAAGGTTGACCATGAGCCGGGCTTGGTGGCTCAGCCTGTAATCCCGCGCCTTTGGGAGGCTGAGGTGAGTGGATTGCCTGAGCCCCCGGGTTTGAGACCCGCCTGGGCAGGCGAGACCTCATCTCTACAATAAAATCAAAAAATTAGCCGGGCCTGGCAGCGCGTGCCTGTAATTCCGGCTACTCGGAAGGCTGAGGTAGAAGGATCGCCGGAGCCCAGCAGGCGAGGCTGCAGTGGCCAGGAGCAGCCACTGCACTCCAGTCTGGGCGACCAAGTGAGACTCCAACTCAAAAAAAAAAAAAAAAAAAGTTGACCATGTATTGATAATTGATAAAGCTAACTAGTGGATATACAATATATAAATATATACATATATATTATGATGGTTCATCAAACCATTCTCTCTACTTTTATATGTTTGCAATTTTCTACAACACAAAGTTTAAAAAAGAAAAGAAAACATGAAAAAATGAATCTCAAATGAAATCAAACATCATTTCTGAAAGGCAGAATAACACAGCAAAGTGATTTTAAATTTCTTGGGGGCTATGAATTAAATATAGTGATCACAACCAACCTTAAAAAGACTAGGTAAAATAAAAAATAAAAAAAACTCAGAGTGTAATAAAAGTACTGCTTTATCAAATGCTTCATGATAAACAAGCATATGTATGTGTATACTCAATGAAAACATTTCGTATAGGTAGGTTATGGTCAAGAAAGTTTAAACACATAGACGTAATGGATAAGAAAAACATGAGCCCTACGCCAACACAAGTAATGAATTGTCAACTACTGGAAAAAACAAACAGGAATCTATGATTCTATACTGATAACAAATAAGCAGGAGACGGGGAAAGGTACATAGTACGATTCAATGACAAGTGCTGACTGGTAAGTGAACAGAGTGCTGGAGTTGGGAAATGACCCTTTTGCCATCGTCACAGAAAAACAGGTTCGGGCAAGAAGCATCAATGAATGCTAATTCACGAGGAAGTTTTTGGGTTTTCTTTGAGTCGGAGTCTCACTCTGTCACCCAGGCTGGAGTGCAGGGGCACGCTCATGGTCACTGCAGACTCGACCTGCAGGGCTCAAGCAATCCTTCTGCCTCAGCCTTCCTAGTAGCTGGGACTACAGGCGTGCACCATCACGTCTGGCTAATTTTTTGATTTTTTGTGGAGATGAGGTCTTGCCAAGTTGCCCAGGCTTATCTCAAATCCGTGGGCTCAGGTAATCCTCTCACCTCAGCCTCCCAAAGTGCTGGGATTATAGGTGTGAGCCACTGAGCCCGGCCTATTTAGAAGGAAGTTTTGGTGAGAAGGAGGGTATTTACATGGCCCTAAAGTATCTAATCCATAGAAACTACATAGCGAAGACACTGGACAACACCTTGACAAAATGATCAACATTAATATCAAGAGGGGCAAAGAATATGGTGTGCCTCTGTCCATGTGTGACAAGCTGAGAAGAGCGTCACTTATGTAGTACAGGAGTGGATAGCACATAACACAAAATCGCCCATGAGGAACCGTAGGAAAACCCCCAATGAGGAGCACTCATCTTTTAAAAAGAGGCAGAGGCAAGCTGACTGTATTCTTCAGAAATGTTATTGTTGTAAAAGACCAACAAACATTCCAGATTCACTGGGACTCAAATGATGTGACAACTAAATGCCATATCTTTTGCCAGCAATAACAAAAGATATCACAATTCCATGACCTCTCAATCACAAGTACAAAATAGTGTATCACTGTGGTCTTATTATTTCCTGACCATTAAATAGAAAACATTCCTTTGTATGCTTATTGACCATAGGTAGCCCCTCTTCTGAGACATGTCTGTTCAGGTCTTCATCCATTGTTCTTCAGTATTTTTAGTATCATGATTATCTTCTCCAAATTTTTAACAATATTTTCACTTTCTTTATGGTGTCTTTTAAGACAAAAGTTCTTAATTTTAATATAATCAAGTTAATCAATATTCCTATCATAACTAGTGCTTTCTTTTCTATAAAATCCTTAGATCTAAATGATACATACCTATATTTTCTGACAACAGTTTGATAATTTATCTAGATAAATTATAAATGATGAAAGAATAAGAATCTAATTTCTTCTTTTTCTATTTTTTTTTTTTTGAGTTGGAGTCTCACTCTGTCACCCAAACTGGAGTGCAATGGCACACTCATGGCCACCACAGCATTGACTTGCTGGGCTCTGGCGATCCTTCCACCTCAACCTTCCAAGTAGCTGGAACTACAGGCGTGCACTACCACGCCTGACTAATTTTTTATTTATTGTAGAGACGAGGTCTCATCAAGTTGCCCGGACTGGTCTGCAACCCGTGGGCTCAGGCAAGTCACTCGCCTTGGCCTCCCAAGGTGCTAGAATGAGAGTCTGAGCCACTGAGCCTGGCCAAATTTTTTTTTTTTTTTTGAGTTGGAGTCTCACTCGGTCGCCCAGACTGGAGTGCAGTGGCCGCTCCCGGCCACCGCAGCCTCAACCTGCTGGGCTCCGGCGATCCTTCCACCTCAGCCTTCCGAGTAGCCGGAATTATAGGCACGCGCTACCACGCCCGGCTGTCACTGATTTTATACAGTGTCTCTAGCAACTACTAAAGATCTGAATAGAAGTGGGTCTAAGCCAGGCTCGGTGGCTCAGCCTGTAATCCCAGCACTTTGGGAGCCCGCGGGTTCGTGACCTGCCTGGGCAACTTGGCGAGACCCTCATCTCTACAATAAATCAAAAAATCAGCCGGGCATAGTAGTGCGCACCTGTAGTTCCAGCTACTTGGAAGGCTGAGGCGGAAGGATCGCCGGAGCCCAGCAGGACGAGGCTGCGGTGGACGGAAGCAGCCACTACACTCCGGTCTGGGTGACAGAGTGAGACTCCAACTCAAAAAAAAAAAAAAAAGTGGGTCTATTTGAGTTTTCTATTTTATTCCATTGGACAGTTTGCCCATATACTAATACCACATTCTCTTAATTACTAGAGCTCCAAAGTCACTAGTCTGCTTATCAGTCTCCCCTTTCTATTCTTCAGAAATGTCCTGGCGATTTTCGGCTCCTTCCTCTTTCACATGAATTTTTAAAAACCATCTTAAACATGTTATGTTAAAATACTTGCTGGAATTTATTAGAAATGTTCTCAATCTAGAGATCTATTTGAAGGAAACTGACATCTTTCTGTTATTAAGCTTTCCTACCATGTATAAACAGTATCTTTCTTCATTTTTTAGATCCTCTTTCATATGTCAGCTAAATGTTATGATTTTTCTGTAGTGGTCTTGTTATATTTATGGCTAGGTGCTTGAGCCTAGGGGTTCAAGACCAGCCAGGGAAACCTGGTGAGACTTTGTCTCTGCAATAAATCAAAAATCTTTATAATCTACTACCAAATGGCTGGCTGCCTGTGGGCAGAAATGCAACTGATTTTTACGAATATATCTTACATCTAGTCACCTTTCAAACTCCTACTTTTCATAACTAGTAGATGCTTCAAGTTTCTTATGTAAATAATCTTAACAATAAAAATAATGGCATTTTATTTGCTTCAAATTCTGATGTCTCTAATTTCATTTTCTCATTTCTTTACTGGATTGACCATAAACCCTAATTCGACATTTCACAAAAGTGTTGATAGTGAGTGGTGATAGTGATATTACAAAAATAGTGATAGTGAGCACCTTTGTCTTACATCGGATTTTTTTTTTTTTTTTTTTTTGAGTTTGAGTCTCACTCTGTCACCCAGACTGGAGTGCAATGGCCGCTCCCGGCCACCCCAGCCTCAACCTACTGGGTTCCGGCGATCCTGCCGCCTCAGCCTTCCAAGTAGCTGGAACTATAGGTGTGTGCTAACACACCCGGCTAATTTTTGATTTGTTGTAGAGATGAGGTCTCGTCAAGTTGCCCAGGCAGGTCTCGAATGCGCGGGCTCAGGCAATCCACTCGCCTCGGCCTCCCAAAGTGCTGGGATTATAGGCTGAACCACCATGCCTGGCCTTTTTTTTTTTTGAGTTGGAGTCTCACTCTGTCACCCAGACTGTAGTGCAGTGGCCGCTCCCGGCCACCACAGCCTCGACCTGTTGGGCTCCGGCGATCCTTCCGCCTCAGCTTTCCAAGTAGCTGGAACTACAGGTGCGCGCTACCATGCCCAGCTCATTTTGATTTATTGTAGAGATGAGGTCTCGCCAATTTGCCCAGGTGGGTCTCGAACCCGCGGGCTCAGGCAATCCACTCACCTCAGCCTCCCAAAGGCGCAGGATTACAGGCTGAGCCACCGAGCCCGGCTTACTCCTGATTTTAAAGGTAATACTTCATTAAAAGTTAGTCAGGCTGTGTGCAGTGGCTCACACCCGTATTACCAGCACTTTGGGAGGTGGAGGTGGAGACGGAGGCAAGTGGCCTGCCTGAGCCCAGAGGGTTAAGATCAGCCTGGGAAACGTGGTGAGACCCTGTCTCTGCAATAAATCAAAAAATTATCCGGATGTGGTGGTATGTGCTTGTAGTTCTAACTACTTGGAAGACTGAGGTGGAAGGGCTGCCTGAGTGAGTCCAGCAGGTTGAGGCTGCTGTGACCGTGAGCATGCCACTACACACTAGCCTGGCAACAGAGTGAGACCTCAACTCAAAAAAACAAAAAGTCAAGCCAGGCGAGGTGGTTCACATCTGTAATGGCAGTCTTTGGAATGCCGAGGCAGGATTACTTGAACCCAGGAGTTCAAGAACAGCTTAGGCAACATATCAAGACCTTGCCTCTACAAAAAAATTTTAAAAGTAGCTGGGTATGGTGGCACGTGCCTGTAGTCCCAGCTACTCGGGAAGCTGAGGCGGAAGAATCACTTGTGCCCAGGAGGTTGAGTCTGTTGTGGGTTGTGATCATGCCACCACACTCCAGCCTGGGCAATGAAGTAAGATCCCGACTCAAAAAAAATCAATTTGGATAATGTTTTCTCTAAGTTTTTTACTAGTCATCAGACTATGGAATTTCTTTCTATCCCTAATTTGCTAAAAATTGTCAATCATGAATGAATATTGAATTTTACCAAGTGGGGTTTTTTTGCATCTTTGGAATATCATATGGGTTTTTTGGTAGATTGATGTGAAATTATAGCTACAGATTTTCTAATATTTTGTTTAGGATTTTTGCATCTACCTTCAATTTTATTTTAATGGATTAGTCTGGTTTTTGTTATAGTATAATACTGGCTTCACCTAATAAATTGGCAAAAACTCTTTTTCTGGAAGGAGATGCATAAGATTAGGAAAATTTTTTCCTGAACAGTGTGGAAGAATGTCCCATAAAACCAGCTAAGTTTGCTTGGTGCAGTGGCTTATGCCTATAATCCCACCACTTTGGGAGGTGGAAGAGAAAGGACTGCCTGACCCTAGGGGCTTGAGACCAGCCTAGGCAACTAGTTGAGATTTTGTCTGTACAACATATCAAAAAATTAGCTGGCATGGGAGTGCACACCTGTAGTTCCAGCTACTTGGAAGGCTGAGGCAAAAGAATCGCCTGAGCCTAGCTGGTTGAGGCTGCAATGACCTTAAGTATATCACTACACTCCAGCTGGGTGACAGACTGAGACTCCAACTTAAAGCAAACAAACAATCAAAACACAAGCTGAGTTGATGTTTTTGTGTTGGGAAGATTTAACTATCAATGCTTTTTTAATTTCCTTAAGAGTTATAATATCTAAGCAATTATAAGTTATATTTTTTTAAGAATTTGCCTTATTTCATCCAAATTTTCAAAACTGCTGGCATATACTTGTTTATAACATTCTATTATTCAGATAATCTTCACTTGATCTATAGAATCTTCTCCGTTTCATTCATATATTTCCTCTACTTCCCTTGATCCTTCTTTGCCCATTTTGTTCATTTTTTCAAATAATCACCTTTCAGTAATTTATGGATCTTCTCTATTTTATGCTGTGTTTCAGTGAGTTCCACTCATTTTTTAATCTCCTTTCTTTGGTTTTACTCCACTGTTTTCTAGCTTAAGAGGAACAGTCAGCTCATTAATTTTGAGGCCTTCTTTTTTTCCAATAATCAATTAAAGGTATACACTTCCCTCAAAGCATCTCTCCTACTATATTCTGCAAGTTTTTTTATGTGTACATTATCATTATAATTATAGACATTTTAATATGATTTCTTTCTTTTTTAGCAAGTATGAATGCCCAAATGTGAAAACTTATTTATCTAAACTGTGTTATGATCAGAGATCACGGTATGTATGATACTAAGTCTTTAAAATGTGTTGAAGCTTTCAGTATGGTATAGTACACAATCATTCTTGTAATGTTTAATGTATATTTGAGAAGCTTGTTAGATTCACAGCTGATATATGTGGCCTCTTAGGTCAAGCTTATAAACTGTCATACAGATACTTGATAACCTTCCTGGATTTTGTCTACTGACTCATCAATAAGAAGAGAAGGCTGAGTGTGGTGGCTCATGCCTATAATCCCAGCACTTTGGGAGGCTGAGGTAGGAGGATCACTTGAGGCCAGGAGTTCAAGACCAGCCCAGGCACCACTGGTAGACCCTGTCTCTACCAAAAAATATTTTTTAAAAGATTAGCTGGATGTGGTGGCACCAGCCTGCAGTCCTTAGCTACTGGAAAGGCAGACTTGGGAGGATCCCTTGAGCACAGGAGTTTGAGGTGACAGTGAGCTATAATCCCACCACTGCACTCTAGCCTGGGTGACAGAGTAAGGTTCTGTCTCTATTATTAAAATAAAAAAGAAGTAGAGAAGTATGTTGAAATCTCAGTAATGAAGTTTTTCTCCCTGTAGTTTTGTCAATAACTGATGCAATCAGTCTCTTACTCAACTTGGCCCGTTGCTGTCCTAACATCTATTTTAGTAGATATTACAGGTGAGAAAAGCAAAAAAGAAGAGCTCTTCTTCATTAGTTCAGTTCAGCATATTGAGTATCAGATTCTTCCATGTCAGTCTTTTAAGCTCAAGCATCACCTGGCGGAAAGTACTTCCCTACCCTCTCGGAAACCCTCTTCTTTGACCCTACATCACCCTCTACTTAACAGTAGTGACATTAAAATTTTAAAAAGTAAATATTTAAAACAAAATCCACAGCAAAAACTACTATTATCGGTACCTATAGGTACAAAAATAAATGATATTCTTCCATCGCCTAACATTCACACTCACCATTTCATTGGGATGGACCAAAAACAAATAGATCCCTGGATATTTGTCAAAAACCTGAAAGGAGCAATTGGCTTGTTCCATCCGACAAAGTGCTTCAACACATAATTCGTCTAAAGAGAAAAAATAAAGCAGTAAGCAAAAGAGATAAATTTTATCAGCTTATCAAAATTTCCTAAATCTGGCTCTTCCAGTTATTCTGCAAATAAATGAAAATGTGTGCCTTTTATTCACCAAACGGAGGCACTAAAATGCTTATAATGTAAATGTGGGAATAGTATTTACCCACCTGAAAGATTAGCCAGTTGATCATAGAGTGTTCTTAGGAATTATTCTGACTCTACTAGAATATATCTCTTTTTTTACAGTTGGCATAATTATCTCCATAGGTATCTCCTTAGAAGTATGGCTGTAAGTACAATTCCATTTGCATTTTACATTTTGATCCACCTGGGCTTTACTTGGTACAGGAGTAATGAATAAAGTCAGCTTCCCCCTCAAATGGCTAGCTGTCCCACTCTCATTTAATAAATAATCCACTCACCCTATCAGATCAAACAACTTTCGTTTGTAAAACTTCAAAATATCTTACACTAGTGATAGTGGCTGGACTTGAGGACAGGGTGACAATACCTGGAAAGCATGAGGGGAGCTCTTGGAGGTTAATAATTTTTTTTTTTTTTTT